GAAGCCAGGGGTAGTCACATAAAGAATTTCCTAACTGGCCAAGCCTTAAGGATAAATGAAACATTGGACTCATCTATTTAAAATGTTTCCACCTCACAAATAAAGAACAGCATAACTCTGCTAAAGCGGATAGAGGGAATAATCCAATCCCATAACCCTCTCATCAGTCCCAGTGACGTGCACACACAGAGGAGCTGCAGCTTTCTACGTCAGCCCAGCTTGCTTTGTGTTTTATTCCACTCATGATCTCTTCTTTTGCAAATAAAGTCCCATCCTGGTGTTTTGAAACTACGTTTTTCCCCCAAACACGGTGACCTCATCACTACACCACACACCGTGTTTTTCCTTTAGGTAAGCCCTGGAAGTTTCCATTTTTCCATGCCACGAGCCTGTCTTTGCACGCCGGGGTGACACAACACCGGTGTGAGTGCTCAGAGCGGGCGATTGCAGCTCTGAAATCTCTATTTAGCCACCTCCAGGTAAGGGATCTGATTGTCCCTGATGCTGAGGGACCTGCAGGTTCTTTTCCATCCCCTGGAGAGGTGCCCAGCAGCCAGAGCACATCACTAAAGGTGCTTATATGGCTTTGGCAACAGGGCTGAAACTCCACCCTCTGACCTTGGTATGGATCGTGCTTACGCAATGGTGCTAATGCCTCTTACAAACCCCAGAGCATCCATGACCAAGGGCTCTGGGAAATTTGTCAGGAGAACACTGACCCTGCCCAGGGTCCCTGCAGAGCCTCACACACGGGGACTCACTCCGTTCCACTGCCTGGTGGGGGAAATGATGCTCTCTCCAGTTCTGTGCTGTTTTACCCAACTCCCCCAAATCTTAGCACGGTGAAGGTTTTAATCCACGGCCGCTCCTTCTCCTGGCCACAAGGTACATCTGGTGGCTGTTACCATCTGAGAGGGGACAAGAATAACCAGGGAAGTCATTCTGAAACTGGAAATCAGGGAGAATGGGCAGAGAAGCGAGTTCAAATCAGTGTTTGGGAAGAGGGAAACGCTGCTAAAATGCAGACACTCTTCCCAAGAGGGAACACTCCAAGCACATGTAACCCAGCTGACTGACCACCCACCCAGAGCCCAAACCGAAACGTGCAACCACATCCCACTGACAAACATCCCTTACTTTTCATCCTTCCTCTTCCATGGGTCCCCAAAATTTCCTACTTCCCAGTTTGCCACTGTCCCACCGATGGCTGGGGTTTCACTGCTGATGTACAGCCCAAACCCATGCACAGGGCAGCATTTTTGGGGGGATTTGCACGTCTGGAAAGCAGCAAATTTGTGCCTAGAACTGTTTATATTTTAAGGAAAATCTTTCTCATGTTTACTTATTGGACTAGTAGCAAACCCTCTTATTTTGGAACCAAGTTTTTTTGGCTTTGTCCTTTGCAGAATGCAGCTTGCCTTTTGCGGTTTGTTTAGAGATTTTTTTAAATTTCCTTCTGCAACTATAATTTACAATTAGAACACACTATTTTTGTATTTACAGCTCCAACCCGTTACAAGGATTAAATGAGGCTTCCTCACAAGTACACAGCTACAGTGATTTCTTCCTGAGCTATCTCAGAAATTCAACATGTAAAATAGTAAAAAAAAAAATCAATAAAATTGTATTTGGGGTAAACAGAAAACTCTCTGTGAAAGGCAAAGGCACAAAATTATGCCCCATCCCTGGAAGTGTCCAAGGCCAAGTTGGACAGGGCTTGGAGCAACCTGGGCTAGTGGAAGGTTTCCCTGCCCAGGGCTGGGGGTGGAACTCGATGGCTTTAAGGTCCCTTCCAACCCAAACCACTCTGGGATTCTGCGCTTTGCTACTAAGCAGAAAGGCTTCTTTCATACTGGATAAAAAGGAAACAATCTATTAAATGGTTATATCTACCCTGTAGTAAGGCTGGTCCGTCCAGTTTAATGACACCAGAAGGATGAGCAGCAGTAACAGGAACTGCTGCTCCTGAGCTACAACAGATCCAAAGCTCATAGAAATTAAATGGCATTGTCAGGCACATACTTTGGGTTTGGGCTTTTTTCTTGCTGAAAAAGTGACTTATTGGCACACAAAGACATCTCAAGTCTCCTCCACATAGAAATTGTAACTTTTGCTTTCTTCCCTCAGAAAATCTGACATAAAGACAGAAAAGGAAGAAAGTTATAGAAGTTATAGTCACTTAAACTATGTTATGTGAAGTCACCATACACATGACAAAATATGGCCTAATATATTAATAAGCCACAGACCTGATAAGGAAAATTTGTTCTCCCCATTTAAACTTTTCAGGAGCCATTTTCAATTGTCAAAAACCAATGACAAAAGCTAATGAAAATACAACAGATCTTCTAAATCACCAGTTTCCCCCCTCCCCTGAGATTGCTGTTCATCTGGAATGTTGGGTGCTGTTAACGTGGTGTGAAGGGGAAGCCTGGGATCAGCAACAATGCAGCTGGTCACAGTACACCCAGGAAAGCTTGTGTTTTGTTCTTGTTAGTTGGTGGAGCCATCGCTATGATCTTGTTGATGACTTCTGTTGGAATCCGATGACATCCATCGTGCCATTTCACCCCTAAGAACTGGATCTCTCTGGCAGGTCCCTTGACCTTACTCTTTTTGATGGCAAAACCGGCTTTGAGGAGAATCTGGATAATTTCCTTTCCTTTTTCAAAAACTCCCTCTGCTGTGTCCCCCCACACGATGATCTCATCAATATACTGGATGTGTTCTGGAGCCTTACCCTTCTCTAGTGTAGCCTGGATCAGTCCATGGCAAATGGTGGGACTGTGTTTCCACCCCTAGGGCAGTCAGTTCCAGGTGTACTGTGATAAGCTGGAAGGTCTGTGGGTGCTTCCTTAGAACTAGGAGACATAATTAACTCCAGAGATGGCATTAATTAGCACATTACCATCACTGCACATCATCCTGCGCTGCTGTTTGGCTCAGCTCAGGCTCCCCTGCTCTCACCACGTGCTCTCACCATGAGCAAGTTATTTATTGGGATTGAAAGACTGCACATTTACATGAAAAAAACCCAAAATAATCAGCTGTAACAAAGTAAGGAATCTCTAAGAGGAGCTTACAGTGGCATGGGATGGAGGTTCTCCACCACACAAGCCCATCCCTAACGAATCCAACCATCCCCTGACCCCTGTGCTCCATGACACTCTCAAGCAGACTCATTTCAGGGGGGCTGCATTTACAGGTGACCTTAATGAGCAGAAATTCATTAAGATCAAAAGACAGCCCTGCCAGCCAACTCGTTAGGACCCACTTGCACCCACATGAGCACCGTGGCCTCTCCACAGGGTTGCTGCTCTTACAAGAGCTGCCATCCGGTGCAGAGGAGGGTTCCATCCATCCCCCCTGCCAGGCACACCACATTCCAGCTCACCTGTAAAGCCAGGGAGGTGCCAACTTGGGATCTGAGACACCTTGTGCTGGGTCACCCCCAACTGCCCCGGCCCTCTCTGCTGTGCTGACTCAGCACCACGCGCTGACATTTCTCATGGGGGCACTTGCACAACGAGCTCCAGAGCTGGCAGCACCCACATTTCCCCATGTATTAGGAAGCTCATATTTTCTTTGGAAAAATGCAACGTGCCCAGCATATAAAAGAACACCTCCTCACCACCCATAAAAAAATCCCACCCAGCAACACAACAACTCCACCTCAACCCTTCAGGAGAATGTGGGAGAATTCCCAGCCTAGGTGGCTGTGCCCACACACCTCCTTCCCTGTGCTTCCCTGGCAGGGCAGGCATGTGCTCAGGGAGAGCCAGCTCAGCCTGGCACCTCCCAGGGGCCACCCTGCAGTGACATGTTCCTGTGCCTGTGTCCTCAGACACCTACCCAGGAAACACCTGGCTTGGCCAGCCCAATCCTCACCGCTGAGATAAGAATGATGAGTATTTAGGGGAGTGCTTTGGCTGCCTGGCTCTGGGCTCAGGACTGACTCCGTCACAGAGCCGGCATATTCGGAGTTCCCCAGTCCATGGTCAGCTCCCAGCCTGTGCATGGTCAGGAGTGTAACCTCATGTCACATTGCAGGAGAATGGTGAATCACAGTCTTCTCTGCTGTTATGATTCACTTAATCTTTTCAAATTTATTAGGTACAACGGAGCAAATAAATTTCACGGAGACCTTTCATTTGTTAAGCAATCCGCTCCCATCTCTGGGCAGAGAGATGTTTCACCAAAAGCCTGCTCAAGTGTTCTGAGTTTCATATCCTGTATTTTTAGTGCCTTTCAGGGCTAAAAGCTCTGAAACAGCAAAGCACAGAGCGAGTCCTCCTGTTCCTCCTGGCACAAAGACAATCCGCAGCAGCAGCAGACAAGAGCTTTCTGTGGATCTTTGGGTAAGCCACGGGAATGACTTAAGGCTTTGACCCAGCATATCCACATTATCTGTCCATCCCTGACATGGCAAAGATTCTTAGTCTTGCCTAGTGAGAAGGGATTAGCTTCAGATTTCTATTTCAGAACCGAGGGAGTAGCAATTGATCCGGAAATCTGGATCTATACAGCGACAACAATTTACCTACAGATCAACCTACAGAATTTATACCAATAAAGTCTAATTCATTATCTGCTTTTCTTCCAAACTTACTTGCAACGTTTCCCACAAGTTTGGATTGATTGCCATGGGTATATGCATGGGACAACTTATTTGCATGTTTACTAATCAGCTTTGGTCCCAATACACGCAAGAATCGGATTCCTTGTGTTCAGCTCAGCCATTATTCCATGTTATCCCTTGATGCTGGTATGGAAAAATGAAGGTGCCCTTCCTCCTGTGCATACACCACTACATCACTCCAGGCTAACAGCCAGTCAGCTTTTAAATAAGGCATTCATGGCATGAGAACATCTTAGCTTAAAGACAGTATGTACTGTGAAGTCAAAGCTTAACTTAGCGTATGAACAGCTCAAACTACTCCAGACTAAACAGGAGCACTCAAATCACCTGCCTTAAGAATCCTTGGTGCTCTGCAGTGCTCTGACAACACCCAGCTGGGATCATCTTCTCGGTGGGAATACTCAAAAGCAGTGGTTCTGCTGCAAAAACTCCACCTAAAGATAAAAAGGGTGTTGCTGTATCACAGTGCCCTGGGATTGCCACCTGGTTTATAGAATGGGTGGGACAAGAACGTGATTTTGATTTATAACCCCCATCATTTCTGCTGTTTTGCAACAAACATGGCCCAACCAGCTCCAGGATGTTCAGAGGTCTCTTGCCCAACAGGTTCAAATTCTTGACTCCACATCCTGTACGTGAAACGAGCAGTTCGGGCAATAATTAAAAGTAAATACTTGCAGCACTTGGAAAATTAATAGGTTCCTGATTCTAAGGAGGATTTTAAAAAAAAAAAGAAGATACTCAGTGTACATTCCCATTGCAGGAAGTTTTACAGCCACTATTTCCCACCGTGTCCCAGATGACTGGGAAGGAACAGTATAATGAAGGAACCCTCACCCAGGTACTTTCCATGAGCATCTGGCCAAACACCTTTTGAAGGACACTGACACATATCCCAGTTGCTTTCTACGGGACAATGAGCAGCTCTATAATTATCATGTGCCTTTTGATCTCCACTGATACTCACTGCAGGAAATTGCACACTCTGTTGGACCTGATGATCCCTTTTCCATCCTGTTATTAACTGTCCTCCTTTGCAACTCGCAGCATCTCCTACTCCAGCCACAGTCATGGAAGAAAATGCCAACACCAGCTTGGAAGAAGACTTCGAAGGACAGGCGACACACACAGGCAAGGAAACTAACTGCCTTTTTTTTTTTCCCCCTAAAAATAAGCTAAACTGTCCCTGTTCACTGGGGAAGCACAGAATTCCAGTAGATCCAATGGATTCACCAATCCTCTCGAGCAGAAACACAGGTTCCAAAGGCAATGAGAATGCATTTTGGGGTAAGGGCAGGTAACACCAGTCTGATCTTTGTGCCAATCCTCCTCATACCTGAAGCAAACAGCCAACACAGGAGACACTTGACAAAGCCACCAAGAGCAGTGGAGCTCCTGTGGGTTGGTCCTGAAGGATGACCTTCCTTCTCCTGGAGAGGAGAGAAAACCAAACAGCAACAAAGCCCACACTAGAATTTAGTGATAATATTTCACTATAAAGGCAAAATTATGTTTTCCTTCTTATAGAAGGAACACTCAGAACTAAAAATGAACCTTGTAAGTCCTCTTGGCAAACACAGCGCAGCATTTAGAAGGTTTAAGAGAAGTCTTGCTCAAAATCATCAGTTTTTTTAAAGTAGCACTCAATCCTTAGGATTTTTATGAGTCCTGACACTGTGTTCAGCTCCACACCCAGGGATCATGTCCTGTGTGTAGAACATGGACCCTGGTAGGCAACGAGATGTTCCCGCCCTGTGCTCCAAGGGCTTCCTTTTCTTGGAGCTCTTGTGATAACTCTTTCTGGGATCCTTCACCTCTGAAAACACCAAAATATTCCTTGGTTATGCCTTATAAACTAAGCTGCAGATTCAAATGCTTCATTTTGAAAAACAGCACTAGAATTCAAAATTAATTTTCCCCTCCCCTCTTTCAAAATTTAACCATTTCAGTCAACCAGCTCTGCATTACAATCAGAATTATTGTAGCATTTGCCTTATGGGTTACTCTTCCAGTGGAACAAGTATGGGTTTAAAAAGAAATGTCAAGTGCCCTGTATTCTTAATTTTACTGTGAGTTCTTATACAATTTATTTATATAAATGCACTGTCTATGGAGACATGCAAATATACTTGTACGAAACACAAGCTTTGGCCAACATGGCAATTTTACCAGGTTTCAACATTCTCATCCTTGTTAACTACTGAAATAGGTCACCAAAATCCTTTCATGGGCTCCTGATAGGAACGAGAACCCCAAAGTGATCCAGGTTAGAAAATACTCTTACTTTTTGGGACACATTAGTCCCAAAGTTTGGGTTCTCAGCACTCCTGGAGAGAGTTCTGGGAGGAAGAGGGACGGACAGATAAACTGAGGCACAGAAGGACAAAGCAGCAAAGAGCAGAAACTTCTCAAGAAGCTCCTTGTTGCACTTTCTCATCCAGCTTCATCTCTCTTAGGGCCCAAGGGTGTGATCAACGACTGGAGGAAGTTTAAATTAGAAAGCGAAGATGGAGAGTCCTTATCCTTGAGCAAGAAAGAAATGCTTAGACAAATGTCTTCACCACACAGATCCTTCAGTAGAGATGATAAAGACACCAGAGAGAGGTTCTGCCGTAAGGTAAGAGAAGTAGAGCAAAATAAATGAATTTTGATTCTAGATAAAACATACCAGTTATAAGCTAGAAAATCCTGTATTTACCAGACTCAATTTCTGCGTAACTTAGCAGAGCTCTCCCAGCACAGAGAGAACAAACCACGTGCAAACCAACAGAGCTGGGAAGGGGCTGGAGCAGCAGGAGCAGCTGAGGGAGCTGGGGGGGCTCAGCCTGGAGAAAAGGAGGCTCAGGGGGGACCTTCTGGCTCTGCAACCCCCTGACAGGAGGGGGGAGCCGGGGGGTTCGGGCTCTGCTGCCAGGGAACAAGGACAGGAGGAGAGGGAATGGCCTCAGGCTGTGCCAGGGGAGGCTCAGGTTGAACATAAGGGAAAAAATTTTCCCCAAAAGGGTTGTCAGGCATTAGAACAGACCACCCAGGGAACTGGTGGAGTCACCATCCCTGGAAGGGTTCAAAAAAATGGGGATGTGGTGCCTGGGGACATGGGTTAGTGGTGGATTTGGCAGAGCTGAGTTAATGGTTGGACTCAATGATCTTAGAGGGCTTTTCCAACCTTAAAGGTTCTCTGATCCTCTCTACCCAGTCCTCTCTCAAGCAAAAGACTCCAGTAAAACAAACTACATTGCACAACAACCTATCACAGCACAATTTGACCTTTCTTCCTCTCTTCCCTGCCACAATGATCCGTGGTTAAGGCAAAGGCAAACGTTTAACCTGTTTAAAAACCTATTAGTCAGGGACAGAGCTGTGAGCCTGAATGTCACTCATTACCACCTGCCAGGTCTGAACGGGGGGGACCCAAACCCCCCAAAACACAGGAATTAAACTTTGAGCCCACTGCAGTCAGTGACAAAATTCCTACCAACTCTGGAAAATCCAGAGGTTTTTGTCAATGTGGCAATTGTCATGTCAACATGGAAGTGTTGAGGCAGGACCTTCACCCGTGTCTTGAGGAGACCTTCCAGAGTCACTGCAGGCAGTGACGGCTCTTCTGGGTCAGCTTGGATGTTCTTTAGTCAACAGCAGGGGCTCTTCCCACCTCAGCACTGAGGGCTTAGCCCTCACTAACCCAACATTCTCTGGCCCCCCCAGATGAGCATGCAGGAGTACGAGCTGATCCACGACGCGCAGGAGGACGAGAGCTGCCTACAGCAGTACCGCAAGCGCTGCATGCAGGACATGCACCAGCGGCTCAGCTTCGGGCCCAAGTTCGGCTACCTGTGCGAGCTGCAGAACGGGGAACAGTTCCTGGAGGCCGTGGAGAAGGAACACAAAACCACCACGGTGATAGTGCACATTTATGAAGATGGTGTGAAGGGCTGCGACGCCCTCAACAGCAGCCTGACCTGCCTGGCCGCAGAGTACCCCACCGTGAAGTTCTGCAAGATCAAGGCCTCCAGCACCGGGGCTGGAGATCGCTTCTCCAACGAGGTGCTCCCCTCCCTGCTGGTCTACAAGGCTGGGGAGCTGCTGAGCAATTTCATTAGTGTTTCTGAACAGTTCAATGAGGAGTTCTTTGCTGTGGATGTGGAGGCTTTCCTGAATGAGTACGGGCTGCTGCCTGAGGGGACGCTGCCCGCCCTGGGAAATGGCAACACGGATGAGCAGGATGTTGAATAGTCAGAGCCACAGTGCTGGCTGTCTCCCTTTCCTCCTCAGTAAGCTGTAAATCAATGTCAGTAACACCCATCTCGTTTAGAGAAGGCTGTCTTTGCTAACTTATTTGTAAGATACAAAGATACAAAATTATTTAACTGTTAGGATATGAATTTTACTTCAAACACACACAACTGGCAGTCCTGCACATAATTATCTCTATGCCACAAGTAATAGGAAGAACAGCAGACAATGCTGGTGATCTTTAAGATGTGAAGGTAAAAAGGATTAAAAACTGAGGGCCCATGCCTGTCTCCAAGAAGCACAAGACCTTCATTTCAGACTGATCCATCCCTCTGTGCACACAAAAAGCCATGTCCATGCTCTGGATTATGGCTCCTCAGATACACTTCTACCAACTTCGGTAGGAAAAAGCAGTTTGAAGGACAAACAGCCCAAAGTCCTTGCATTCCTAAATAATTTGGGAAACTAGGACAATATTTTATGCTTCCACATTTAATATTCGATATTCATGAAAAGAAATAAATTTCTCACCCTTCTTGCTGTCACTTCTGTGACAACACTACAGAAGTGTTGCTCTCACAACAGCAAACACAGACACAGCATCAGCTCCTTTCAGTTCATGGGTGCTCCACAGGTTGAGCAGCAATGCTTAAAATGTCTGCAGTATCTGAAAAAGTATATTGTGCTTATGTAATAACTCTGAATAAAGCTTAACAGCCCTTGAGACCTGCCCTTGGAAGTGTGAAATATATTGGTAGTACACAACCTTAGCCTTAAAACATGTGAAATATTAGTAAGCACTCATTAGACATTTCCTAAGCCCAAAGTTTTGAGTTTTGTTAAAGGGAAGCTGCTGAGAACTACAGTTTAACAATCTGAGGGAAAACTCACTATAAACCTTCCTCTCTCGGTCTAAAAACTCCTCCTCCTCTCGTTCTGACAGAACACAACAAAGCATTGGACACACTTCAGTGGCTTTTGCACACTGGCAAAGCTGAAGGCTGAATTTGACTCTGTATCTGTAACATTTGAGATTACCAGAAAGCTAAAGATTATTTCTCTTTTGTTTGTTCATTTTTAGAAACTATGAAAATGCCGCTGATTTTCTACTTTTAATATTGGTTTTGCAATGGATGGATGTTTTAACAGAGCTCTAGAAACCTCACCTCATGTACACTAAGCTAACAAATGAAGTTCCTCTATCAGCTCTTGTACAATCTTCTTCAAGAATATGTAAAACAATTCATGATTTTATTCCAACAGCACATTCCCAAAATGTTATGATTTCCATGCTGTAAATTACTGAGTGAGAGTGTGTCATAAGTCTTTCTGAGGGAACTCCAGGTGGAATAAAGCTTTTCCTTGGAGCAGTGCTCAGAATATTTGCAGATCTACCATTTGCAGATCCACCCAGCACAATGGAAATCCAGTGATCTTATAAAAGATTATGTAGAAAAATAATGAATTATCTCTGTCTATCACAAAAATAACCAGTTACCTGGGTAGCAGGTCAATATTTCACTTGTATTTTTTTATGACATGTCTTAAAGAAGATTAGTGAAAAATTTCTGTCTTTTGCACACCAGAAAATCTCCATGTAAGTGGTGTGAACTTAAAAGTTCTTGGGAACTTTCCCTCTTTATCCAACTTGGTTCAAAAGCCATTAGGCTGCACATCAGCAGCCTTGTAACATAAACTTCATTTCTCTGAAAACCAGGCTGAAAGCACAAAAACCACCAATACCACCACAGAAACTGGACCCATAGCTCCTGTAAGAAATAAGCTGACACTCCAGTTTAAGAGAAGGATTAAAGCATGCTTAAGCAGGATTTCCTTCAACCTGTAATTTCAAAGAAAAAACAAAGAGAGAGAGCAAACACATGCAGCACCAAGCCTCGACAGCAGCTCATGACTAATGAAGTTGCAAATAAAGCTCTGATCACAGCAGTTACCCAGGTTTCTGCAGGGGGGGGGAAAAAAAGAAAAAAACCTTAAAAAAAACCCAAAAAGCAAGACTTGACTCAAACATTTATTACTGTACAAAGGTTTTTTGAGTAGCAAACAGTAAATGCTTAAAAAAGCACATAGGGGCACCTCCCTGCTGCCTCTTCCTTCAGACTCAAAGGCACAGAGACCCCGAGTGTCCCCAAATATTCCATCTTATCACTGGTGTCACTGCTGATCAAACCCAGACAAAACCTCTGGTAGATCCAAGTGTCAGCTGGGGGAGTTATTTCTCTTCCCAGCATCCAGCACAGGGAGGCTGTGCTTTGGATGCAGTGGGTGGTGAGCAACTGCCTTGGGCATCCCTTGTCTCTCTGGGGTTGTATTCTTTCTCTTTTTGTTATGTCCCTTCTCATTACTATGATTATGTTTTACTTTATTTCAATTATTAAACTGTTCTCATGGCAACCCAAAAGTTGTCCCTCTGCCCCAACCCTCCTCCCCCTGCCCCAAGGAGGGGAGTAAGCCCTGTGTGGTCCTTTAGTTGCCAGCTGGGGTCAAAACCCCCCAGCCTGTCTGTTCCCACCACATCAAATGCTGCCCTCAGACGTGAGGGACCATAAACCTCATTGACCCAGACCACTGAGGCTTTTCAAAACTACATTTGAAAGCCCAGAAAATAAGGGCTTCTGTAAAATTATTTTGTAGCATCAATTTTAGAACTATGCTTAGAAGAGCCAGACTTTCAGTTGTTGAAGTGCAAACCATTCCTCTGGACTCTTACATATTAAAATTAAAACAGATTTCCAGTGCTGCACACGAGTTAACAAAGCTCAGTTTCAGTCTCAACTGAGTTTTTACAGACTGAAAGCTTCAGAGGATTGCATAGGAAAAGGATAAACTTGTATGAAACCTGAGCTAAAGTTATGCAGTAACCCAAGAAAGAGACTTTTAAAAGGTTCCTTTTCTCTTACATGCACTCTTTCATTTCTCCTAAGCCCTCATTTTCTCACGTTCTCAATGGCCAACAAAAAAGGATGGGACCATGAAATCCCCTCTTGGTTAGTCCTGTAATTCTCAGACAAGTGAGAACCTGTTTTCTTCCACCTGCCCTGTTTCCTCATGGCAGGATTACTGGAAGGCTCAATCTGCAGGTACAAGTCAAATTACTCATTTTTACTTTGACAGGGTTTAAATTAATTTCTTATTGCACATATTCTTATTCTGGTATGAAAGCAAAAATCCCATCAAAAGCAATTTCTTTGCTTTCTTCCAGGCTCAAATTGGAAAACCAGACTTCCACAGATCCTTGATACCCAGTTAGTTACAAGCTAGGGGGTTAATTTGACCATCTGTAGTAAGACCATAGAGAAAAGGATCACTCACTAAACACTTGCAGGGGGGAAGAAAAACAGAGTTCTCTGTTAGGGGTCCCATGGAATTATACATCCCAACAAGCTTCATGTTTTACACCACAAGTACTAAAGGAGAAGAACTACGGGATGAGTGTTCCATGACCATTATTCTGCTCTGGTGTCAGACACTGAGCATCTCAGATGCTGTACTTCACTTCTGTGGCTGAGCTGTGTGCAACAGGCAACTACAAAATAACTATTTCATATTTTACCTCCAAAATTTTGTATTCTACCTCCTCATCCCACTCCTCCCAAAAAAAACCAAAAAGAGGCAAAAGACAAACTCTTTGCTTTTCATTATGCCCCTGCTCCTCCTTCTAACAGAGACTTTAGCAGAGCAATTTTTAAGCCAATCCTCCTTTGAAGCAGGATACAAAGTTAACCCCATTTTCTGGATAACCCTCAGCCTCCCCTGGAGGAACTGCTGTGCATGATGCCATCTTGCTTTTGATTCCACCCACTGGCACAGAACAAAATGCACCTATAAAGCCCACAGAGCTGAACCCAATGCCCCCATTACAACATCCACCTCCCTCCAGCAGGCCCTGCTTGAGCAACACTGAGCACGAAAGGTCAACGCTGTGTTTCAAAGGATATTCACAGCACTAAAAGCAGCTCTTTTTCCCAAACATGGAAAAACAGAATACACAGATGAGGCAACACCAGTTGAGACACCTTTCTCACAGTTGCCTTTAATAAAGGTATCCCAGTACATCCTTGATGACGCTTTAGAACCAAAGTGTTTATTTTTTCTTTGTGTTCCAGTGCCTTTAAACAAAAAAAGGTATTTGCAGTGGTACTAAAATGCCTTAAAATCTGGAACTCTTTTCTATTGTAGCTCAGGTCCAAGTAAACATCACATTTCATACACAAATTATCTTTATTAACCTTTCTAGAATTCTTCCCTCCTTCACCTCTCTTCATGGCAAGTAAACCTGTTATAGCCCAGTGTACCCTGGAAAATATCCTATAATGGAAAGATTTCTGTTTATAGTCTAAAAATCCTGATTAGCAATAATTTTGACAACTTGCATGTACCTACAAGATAAACCACAAGGGCTGCCTACATCTAGCTGTTGCTGAAATAGTTAATATTCCGAGAGAACAATGACTGAATAAGAGCTGGACAGAGAAATTTATTGATTTCTGAGTTCTCCAGATCTTGAACTAAGGTATTTACAGGCTGCCTTGGTCTAGTCTTGAAAATTCTAGAAACTATTTGTATACCTTTTATGCTAGTTAACCAGTACTACCTAAAAGTAAATCTAATTTTCCCCCAATTAATTTTAATGAGATTTCTCTTAGCAAATTAAAGCAGGAATTGTCATACCAGGTAACTACACTAGTCTTATCAGTAGCCTGAGAAACACCAGGAGCAGCATTTTGCACTGAAGGAGCCAGCAGGAAGAAAATGAAGGTTCCATATTTCTTTTTAAGGGCTCCTGCTAGAAAATAATATTATCATTCATTTATATGGAGTGATAGGGTTGGTTTCTTGTAAACTTCATTCACTTTGTACTTGATTCTGTACCTGCATAATTCTACTTGATACATGAAGTGCATGCTGGAACAAGGTAACTGAGCCTATCATTACACTGATATTGCACATCTACCTGGGGATATTTAGGCAACAATTAATTACTAATCAATTAAACCCAGCTGTTTCCAGCTTGGAAATGGCCAACGTTTCCATGGAGCTCCAGGGGCTGCAGCTCAGTCACTGAAGTAGTTGAAAGAGAAGATGGATGCAAGGATTGCAACAGCAGCTGCCACCACCACACCTGGAATAACAGAGAAACACGGCAGTGAGGGGCCAAGGGCAGCACGGGGAGGGCAGGGCAGCTGAATGTGCCTGAGGAGAAACCAAAGAGCCACCCCAAAAACTGCTTTTATCAGGAAAAGGTTCTTCCCCCAGAGGGTGGTTGGGCACTGCCCAGGCTCCCCAGGGCAGTGGGCACAGCCCCAAGGCTGCCAGAGCTCCAGGAGGGTTTGGACAACGCTCTCAAGGTCACGGTGGGATTGCTGGGGTGTCTGTGAAAGGCCAGGGGTTGCATTGGATGGTCCTGTAGGGCCCTTCCCACTCAGGACATTCTGTGATTCTGTGAGCTACCTAACACCATTAAGCCTCAATTTAAAGCTACAGTGTCAGATAAATAAATTATAAAAGCTCCCCTTGACATTTCCAATCAGAGCAGGACCCTCCCAGAGATCCAGCTGGCTGCACACTTCTGTAGTACCTTGGCCATAAAATAATGCACTGACTCCATTCTAGGAATCAGACTGGGAAAAAAAATAACTGAAAGTTTAAGAAACAAAAGCTATTAATTTTTTTCTTTTCTGTGCAGCACTACATGTACTTGGTAGGTCTCTGTAGCACAACAGTCATTTGTTGTTGGAAATGTTGACTAACTTGCTCATTACTGATGCAGCTGAGAAGACACACAAGAAAACTCCAAAACACCTGAGTAATGATTTAAGGAAAGATATTTATATATCTACATCAAATACACATTTAATCTTCCAGTTACCATGTTCTACTTCTAAGAATAAACAGAAAGCAGAAGTTACTGCTTTGTTGACCAAAGTATAACTGTATTTTAACACTAGAAGACTTTCAGCCAAGAGAACTGTACTGAGTGCAGACATATATGGGGGC